AATTAAAGAGACAAAGCCAAGTGTCGGTGAGGACATCGAGTAACTGAAATGCTCATGAAGTGATTGTTTAAGGATAATTTGGTATCTTCTTCTTACATAGGTATACCTATACATATTTGGATATGTAACCATCTGACCCTATATTAAGCAAGACATGAGTTCATACTGATATCTCCTATTTTAATTCATTATCATATATAATATTTCAGCCTGCTCACCGTGCTTTTCTGTAAACAATTATTCCAACAGTGAAAAACCTGCCTCTAACCATCTGACATAATCCATTTACTTAATTTTAAAAAATTATTTGAACTCATTGATGTATTGACATCTTACAATATTAAGTCTTCTAGTCCATGAACAAATAATTATTTCTCCATTTATGTAGGTCATCTTTGATTTGTTTCATCAGAGTTCGTAGTTTTCAGTATTTACATACTGCACGCATTTTGGTAGACCCATACTTAAGTATTTCATTTTTCTTGGTGCTATTGTAAATCATATTTTTAAATTTCAAATGCCAATTATTCCTGACTGGTATATAGGAAAGTAGTTTTTATATTATAGTTTGATAGTACAAGTTTGTTATCAGTGTATAACATACTAGTGACATCCTTTTTTTTATTGACTTTGGAAAATTTTCTGCATAGGTAATCATATTACCTTCAAAGATTGTTTTATTTATTCTTTTTCCATCTATATACCTCCTATTTTTTAAAACTGTCTTACTGCACTAGCTACGGCTTCCAGTATGATGTTGAACTGACGTGGTGAGAAAGAACATCCTTCCCATGTTCCCAAAAGTGGTGAAGCACCCACTTTCTTGCCATTAAATATGTTACCTGGAGACTTTGTGTGAATGTTATTTACCATGTTGAGAAAGTTTGCTTGTATTCCTAGTCTTTTGAGAGTTTTATCATAAATGGGTGTTGGATACTGTCAAATGCATTTTATGCATTAATTGATATTATTACAGTTTTCTTTTTAGACTATTGATATGGATTACACTGACTGATTTTCAAATATTGAAGCAGCCATGTATACATGGAGTAAATTGGCCTTTGTCATGGTGTATATTTTAAAATATGTTGTGAAATTTGATTTGCTAATATTTTACTGAATATTTTTGAATATGTGTACATGAGAGATGGCTCTGTAGTTTTCCTTTTTGTAATAAGTTTATTTGGCTTTTATATGAGTTAAGAAGTTGTCCTTCTGCTCCTGGTTCTTAGAAGAGATAAAAGATAATTTGTGTTTATTTCTTACATATTTGGAAGCATTCACCAGGGAAAACTTCTGCGCCTTGTGCCCCTATTTTGGAAGAGTAAATTTTAGGTCATTTTCTCTCATAGCTTTACACCTATTCAGATTATGTATTTCTCTTTGTGTGAGTTTTTATAGTTCATGGCTTTGAAGAAATTGATCCATCTCAACAAAGTTGTCTAAATTGTGGAAATACACCCAAAAAATAAAATACCTGGGAATGCATTTAGCCAAGAAGGTGAAATATCTTTACAAGGAGAACCACAAAACACTGATGGAATAAATTGTGGACCACAAAACCAAATGAAAAATCACCCTATTCTGATGGATTAGGAGAATCAATATTACTAAAATGACCATATTGTCCAAAGCAATCTATAGATTCAATGTTGCTCCTATTAAACTACCAACACCATTCTTCTCAGAATTAGAAAAAAAAAACTATCTTAAAATTCATACGGAACTAGCACTTTGGGAGGCCAAGGATGGTGGATCACAAGGTCAGGAGTTCAAGACCAGCCTAGCCAATGTAGTGAAAACCTGTCTCTAATTAAAATACAAAAAAAAATTAGCCAGGTGTGGTGGTGGGTGCCTGTAATCCCAGCTACTCGTGAAGCTGAGGCAGAAGAATTACTTGAACCTGGGAGGCGGAGGCTGCAGTCAGCTACGATCGCACCATCGCACTCTAGCCCAGGCAACAGTGCATGACTCCGTCTCAAAAAAAAAAAAATTATATGGAAACAAAAAATAGCCTGAATAGCCAAAGCAATGTTAAGCAAAAGGAACAAAGCTGGAGACATCCCACTGCCTGAGCTCAAATTTTACTACAAGGTTATAGTAACCAAAACAGCATGGTGCTGGTACAAAACAAACACATAGACCAATGGGACAGAATAGAGAACACAGAAATAAAGCCACACATCAATGATAAAAACCATCTGATCTTTGGCAAAGTCAACAAATACACACAATAAGGAAAAGACACCCTATTCAATAGATGGTGCTGGGAAAATTGAATAGCCATGTGCAGTAGTATGCAACTGGATCCTTATCTTTCACAATGTACAAAAATTATCTCAAAGTGGATTAAATAATTAAATATAAGAGTGAAACTATAAAAATCTTTAAATGAAACCTAAGACACACTCTTGAGGACATTGACCAAGGCAAAGAATTTATGACTAAGACCTCAAAAGCAAATGCAACAAAAACAAATATAGACAAATGGGCCCTAATTAAACCCAAGACATTTGCACTGCAAAGACATTTTCAAGAGTAAATGGACAACCTAGTGAATGGGAGAAAATATATGCAAACTATGCATCTGACAAAGGACTAATATCCAGAATCTATAATAAAACTAAAAGAATCTTGACAAGAAAATAATTGAAGTTGCTCATTAATTGATTTTGGAAATGGGTGATTTCCTGGATTATCCAGATGTGCCCAATACAGTGAAAAGCGTTCTTTCACATGGAGGAGGGAAGCAGAGGGTCAAATTCAGAGATTTGAAGATGCCACACTGCTGGCTTTGAAGATGTGAGAAAGGGCCAGGATCCCAGGATTTCAGATGGCTCCTGGAAACTGAAAGAGTCAAACGGATCATTCCCCAGCCCCGAAGAAGGAATGTAGCACTCTTAATACTTGATGTTAGTCCAGTACATCCAGCTCAGACCTCTGCTCTGTAGAAGTACATGATAATCAATTGTTTTTGTGGCAATATTTTTGTAATTTGTTACAGCAGCATAGGAAAATAATACAGATGCCACAAACCCAGCATTAATTAAACCGTTTTTTCCCTAAGAAACTTGTGGTAGAGAAGGGATCTACCAAAGGCAGGGCAGTTGAAATGGTTCATCTGCCAAGTAGGTAAAAAAAGAGGTGCATTGTCTGTGGACAATTTTAAAACAAGAACAAAACTGAATAAATGCCAGTGTTTTCCCTTACCACCACCATACCCCAACATTTCTAAGTAACACCAGTAATAAAATCATTTCCCCCAAAAAAATTCCAAAATTGTTTTGTATTTTTCATAAACAATATATTTTTAAAAAGAGCTTTAATTAGGTATAATTGGCATACAATAAACTGCACAAAGTGTTCAATTTAATTAGTTTCGATCTTTGAGTCTTAGAATTTCTGTTTCCTTACATTGTCCATCTGTTTTTGCAAGTGTTCTACATTTTCCATTAGTGCTGCTACCATATGGATCATGATTACTTAAAATGCCCTGTACGATAATTCCAACATGTGGTTCAATTTCTTGCTTTGTTTCTTTAGATTGTGTTTCTCTTATCTTTTTGGCATGCCTGGCAATCTTTTGTTAAAAGCCAGACATGTTGTGTGGTGAAGTGGAACTGAGTTAAACAGGCCTGTAGTGTGAGGGTTTATGTTCATCTCTGTTTATGTTGGGTACAGTCATAGGTATCTGATGCTTCAAGTTCCCCTAGGATCTCTGCCAATTTCTCCCTTCTTGACTTTGTGCTTCCCTAGCTTCTATTACTCAAAAGAATACACATGTTGCAGCTCTTTCAGCCATAATCCACTGTTATTATACTGGAGCCTTTTTAGTGTGGTGGCAAAGTGCTGGGAAGTGTAAAAATTATCGAATTTTACTTGCAAATCTCAATCTTGTAATAATTCTGTGTTTTGGCCGGGTGCAGTGGCTCAAGCCTGTAATCCCAGCACTTTGGGAGGCCGAGGCAGGTGGATCACGAGGTCAAGAGATGGAGACCATCCTGGTCAACATGGTGAAAACCTGTCTCTACTAAAAATACAAAAAAATTAGCTGGGCATGGTGGCACACACCTGTAATCCCAGCTACTCAGGAGGCTGAGGCAGGAGAATTGCCTGAACCCAGGAGGCAGAGGTTGCGGTGGGCCAAGATCACGCCAGTGTACTCCAGTCTGGGTAAAGAGCGAAACTCCATCTCAAAAAACTAAAACTAAAAATAAAAATAATTCTGTGTTTCTTGGATTTGATATTTACAGATGTTTTTCCAGTGATAGACGGTTTCCTCGCTTACATGAGACAAAAGTAAAAGAGGGGCTGGAGTGGTGTGAATGCTTTCACCTAAGCAGGATAAGGCTCTAGTAAAGTTATTTTCCTCTGGAGAGCAGGACTTCATTATGAAGAAAAAAAGCTGAGTCTGTTTTACAGTCATCACTGTTTCCCTCTCCGTGCCAGAGCCAGAAGGGAATTTTTCATGGATCCTCATCATGAGAAGCTGGAACTATTCCTGGAAGCAAATCCCATGACATTGCGCCCTTTGCAAAGACTCTGGTAATATCTCTGAAAATGGCATTCTCAATGACCTAGACATTTCATTCCTTGGTAAAATCCCAACATAAATATGTTTATATGCTTATCAAAAGGCACATGCAAGAAAGTGTATAGCAGTGTTACTAATCATAACTCAAAACCGGAAAATAAAAACCAAATGATTATGGATAGTAGAATGTAAAAATAGGTTAATATACATTCATAAATACAATACTAGGCAATTAGGGCCCTACAGATTTAAAACTACATGCAACATGACTAAGTCAATAAACACATGTCCCCTCCCCCGTTTTCTCCCTTTCCGGGTTTGGTTCCCTCCTTTTCTTTCCCTCTCCTCCCTCCTTCCCAAGTCCCTTTCTTCTCCCCAGCCCCGGTCCTCCCTGCTTCCCAGCCCTAAAGCCCGGGGAAGCCCGCAGCGAGCGGCTGTGGGCCTGGGCAGCAGGCGGAGACGTGGGCGCCCTCCCTGCTACAGCCCGTGCTTGAGTTGTTTCTTACATGTGATCCATTCCAGCACTGGACTGATGGAGGCTGAGCATTTCTTCAGGAGTCCATAGAGGCCACTGTATTCTATTGAAGAACATGTCTAACAATAACATTACTCAAGAGACCCTGGAAATAATGAAAGAATCAGAAAAAAACCTGGTGGAAGAATCTGTAAACAAAAACAAGTTTATATCTAAGACTCCAAGTAAGGAAGAAATTGAGAAAGAATGTGAAGATACCAGTTTGCGTCAGGAGACACAGAGGCGGACATCCAACCACGGTCATGCCAGGAAAAGAGCCAAGTCTAATTCCAAGCTAAAGTTGGTACGCAGCCTGGCACTATGTGAGGAGTCCTCCACCCCATTTGCTGATGGGCCATTAGAAACCCAGGACATCATTCAGTTGCACATCAGTTGCCCGTCTGACAAGGAGGAAGAAAAGTCCACAAAAGATGTCCCTGAAAAGGAAGACAAGGACAAAAACAAAGAAAAGGTCCCAAGGAAGATGTTGTCCAGAGACTCCAGCCAGGAATATATGGACTCCACTGGAATAGACCTACATGAATTTCTTGTAAACACACTGAAAAAGAACCCAAGGGACAGAATGATGCTGCTAAAATTAGAACAGGAGATTCTGGAATTTATTAATGACAACAATAACCAGTTCAAGAAGTTCCCTCAGATGACCTCTAGTGCCATACCTGGCCTGGAGAGCCTTCCTGCATGGTGCCTTTACTGCTGCCGATGCTGTCATGTAGGGTAAGGATAGAGATTCCACTGAAGCTGCTGGCTTTGGTGACAGGGGTCGCATGCTCCAATATCACCGGATGCTATTACACCAGGTAGCTGCCTATTTTGGGATGGACCACAATGTTGATCAAACTGGGAAAGCTGTCATCATCAACAAAACTAGTAACACAAGAATCCCTGAACAGAGGTTCTCAGAACATATCAAGGATGAGAAGAATACAGAATTTCAGCAGAGGTTCATTCTCAAGAGAGATGATGCCAGCATGGACCGAGGTGATAACCAGATCAGAGTTCCATTGCGGGATGGAAGGAGGAGCAAGTCAATGGAAGAGAGAGAGGAGGAATATCAAAGGGTCTGAGAGAGAATATTTGCTCGAGAGACTGGCCAGAACGGATATCTAAATGACATCAGGGAAAACCGTGAAGGGCTGAGCCGCACCTCAAGCAGCCGTCAGAGCAGCACAGACAGTGAACTCAAATCCCTGGAGCCTCGACCTTGGAGCAGCACAGACTCTGATGGCTCTGTCTGGAGCATGCGACCCCTGTCACCAAAGCCAGCAGCTTCAGTGGAATCTCTATCCTTACCCTACATGACAGCATCGGCAGCAGTAAAGGCACCATGCAGGAAGGCTCTCCAGGCCAGGTATGGCACTAGGTGCCCCAGAAGTGTACAACCAGGTCACCTCATCCCAGTCTGTCCGGGGCCTTCTCCCTTGTACTGCCCAGCAGCAACAGCAGCAGCAGCAACTTTCTGCTCTCCCACCCACGCCTCGGCAACAGCCACCCTTGAATAATCACATGATCTCACAGGCAGATGACCTCAGCAACCCCTTCGGACAAATGAGCCTTAGTCGCCAAGGTTCTACTGAAGCAGCTGACCCATCTGCAGCTCTGTTTCAGACCCCACTTATCTCCCAGCACCCTCAACAGACTAGCTTCATCATGGCTTCCACGGGTCAGCCCCTCCCCACTTCCAACTATTCCACCTCTAGCCATGCACCACCTACTCAGCAAGTTCTGCCACCCCAGGGGTACATGCAGCCCCCTCAACAGATCCAGGTTTCTTACTATCCCCCTGGACAATATCCTAACTCCAACCAGCAATATCGACCTCTCTCTCACCCAGTGGCCTACAGCCCCCAACCTGGTCAACAGCTGCCTCAGCCATCCCAGCAGCCTGGTTTACAGCCCATGATGCCTAACCAGCAGCAGGCGGCTTACCAAGGCATGATTGGGGTCCAGCAGCCACAGAATCAGGGCCTGCTCAGCAGCCAGAGGAGCAGCCTGGGGGCCAGATGCAAGGCTTGGTGGTTCAGTACACTCCACTGCCTTCTTACCAAGTTCCAGTGGGTAGTAACTCGCAAAATGTGGTCCAGCCACCTTTCCAGCAACCCATGCTGGTCCCTTCAAGCCAGTCTGTGCAAGGTGGCCTCCCAGCAGCGGGAGTACCAGTGTACTATAGCATGATCCCACCTGCTCAGCAGAACGGTACAAGCCCTTCTGTAGGGTTTCTGCAACCCCCTGGCTCTGAGCAGTACCAGATGCCTCAGTCTCCCTCTCCCTGTAGTCCACCACAGATGCCACAGCAGTACTCAGGAGTGTCACCATCTGGACCAGGTGTGGTGGTCATGCAGCTGAATGTCCCTAATGGACCCCAGCCACCCCAGAACCCATCCATGATCCAGCGGAGTCACTGTAAATACTACAGCATGAACCAGCGGGGACAGAAGCCTGGAGACCTGTACAGCCCTGACAGCAGCCCCCAGGCCAGCACACAAATGAGCAGCAGCCCTGTCACATCTCCTACCCAGTCTCCAGCACCCTCTCCTGTCACCATCCTCAGCAGCGTCTGCACAAGACTCAGTCCCCTGCCTGTCCTCACACAGTTCCCCTGGCCTGGGGGTCCAGCACAGGGTGATGGGTGCTATTCCCTTTTGGGCCAGCCATTACAGTACAATCTGTCCATCTGCCCTCCCTTGCTCCATGGCCAGTCAACTTACACAGTGCACCAGGGAGAGAGTGGATTGAAGCATGGAAACCGGGGCAAGAGACAAGCACTCAAATCTGCCTCCACTGACCTGGGTACAGCAGATTTTGTCCTGGGTCGGGTGCTGGAGGTGACAGATCTCCCTGAGGGCATCACCCGTACGGAGGCGGACAAACTCCTCACCCAGCTCGTCATGTCCGGCACCAAGATCCAGTGGCTCAAGGATGCTCAAGGGCTGCCTGGAGGGGGTGGGGGGGACAACGGTGGGACTGCTGAGAATGGCCGCCACTCAGACCTCGCTGCCTTGTACACCGTTGTGGCTGTGTTCCCCAGCCCCCTGGCTGCCCAGAATGCTTCCCTTCATCTCAACAACTCTGTGAGTCGCTTCAAACTTCGAATGGCCAAAAAGAACTATGACCTGAGGATCCTGGAGCAAGCCAGCTCCCAATAAAGGGAGGAGGGGAAGGGACCATCACAGAAGGAAAAGGGGCAGGGTGGAGGGGGTTGAAGGATCCTGACAGACCATGGACAGAGGCAGGAAGTAAGGAGACTGATGCTAAACTGGAGCTTAAGACAGTGATGAAGATGGAAACAGACAGATGCCCACATTGGCATTGGACTCCTTTTTGCTCCCCTGCCATGGGTCCCCTTTTTTTCCCTGGTTGACCCCCCTTGCACCCCTCTTCTTCCCATCCTTTTTTTCTTTTTTGAGACAGAGTTTCACTCTTGTTGCCCAAGCTGGAGTATAGTGGCACGTTCTTGGCTCACTGCAAACTCTGCCTCCTGGGTTCAAGTGATTCTCCTGCCTCATCCTCCTGAGTAGCTAGCACTACAGGCACACACCACCACGCCTGGCTAATTTTTGTATTTTTAGTAGAGATGGGGTTTCACCATGTTGGCCAGGCTGGTCTCAAACTCCTGACCTCAGGTGATCCACTCGCCTTGGCCTCCCAAAGTGCTGGGATTACAGGTGTGAGTCACTGTGCTGGGCCCCCATCATCTTCTATCATTATTTAAATGTCTTCCTCCATAAAATTAATTTCTTTTATATATTTTTGTAAGGTAGAAATGGGAAAGTCCCACACTCTACGGTTCTATTACCTTAACACCCCAAGCTTCCTTTCCTTTTTTTGGTCTTTATAAATATATTTATATGGACAGAATTAAGATAAACAACATTGATTTCCCCATTCTCTCACTTCCCCATCTTGTCTTCTCAGACCCCACAGAGTTAAAACTTGGGATCCACCCGACCCCCTCACCCCAAACACTTGTATATTGTTTGTTTGAGGTTCATGCCACAGTAACTGACATAGTATTTAATTGCACATACAGATGTTTGCTGGGTATATTCACTGTAAATTTTATTTAATCTGGTTTTTGTTTGGGGATTATTTGGAGGGAGGTTGGTTTTGTTTTTAAATATATAAAAAAAACTGTCCCTGGAAAAATAAATAAATAAACACAATTAATTCAATATAAAGGTAAAAATCCAAGAACAAACATGTACATGCTGTATAATTCAATTTTTCCAAATTTAGCAACTGGAAAAAGAACTGTTACTGAATTTGCATAAATCATATTAGGAGACTGGTTGCCCCTACTGTGACATGAAGCAGAGATGCTCGTAATGTTTTGTGTCTTCAGTTAGGGACTGGTTAATGGGTCTATTCAGTTTGTGAAGCTATATTGAGCTGAACACTCATAATTTGTTCATTTTGCTGTACTTATTCTATGTTTATTTAAAATGTTACATTAAAAATCTAAAAATAAGAAAATGTTAAATAACTTGATATAAATTATTTTGACAATTTAGATGTTTTCCTGAAAAAAGGATTTATTTTACATTGTTACTTTTAATGGTAAAAACAGTAATTATTTAGCACAGACATAAGATCAAAAGCAGGACTGGAAGAATTAAAATAGCTGCTATGGTTCTGTAACATAAATTTGAAATTAGCTAAAACAGTTTACAGCAAGAAAATATACAGTTACGGAGGTTTCACTACTCAATTTTTCCATGAGTATGAGGGAATAAAATAAATAATAAATCTGCAAATTTAACAAAAATTATTCCAGAGAATTGGAGAAAGACCACTTCCTTATTTGGCGAAGCCAGAAAACATTGAAAGGGTATGATAAAACAAGAGGATTAAAATAAAATTTCTCATTAACATAGAGGCAAAAATCCCAAATAAAATGTTACCAGATATAACACTGTAACAATATTTAAAAATCATTTGATGTATGTTACCATAATAATCGAAGTAAATTAAACCTATGTGATTTTCTATTAAATATTTCAAAAATTGATGAATTCCAACAGAAATTCATTTTACCTAGCTAGAATAAACAGAAACTTCTTCATAAAAAAATCATGTTAACGTTGAAATGGTGAACACATTTTCTCGGACTCTGGGCACCTCTTTTACGTAACTTCATATCAGAGACCTTAACAAATACAATCAGGCAGGAAAAATCAAACATATCAGCATTGTAAGGAAAATAAAACCTAAATTTGTTACAGATGACACTATTGTGAATTTACATAATCAGAGAGAATAAACTGGCAGAGCATTAGATAATATAATTGACATAAATTAGTAAGTGATTAGTAATTAACATTATTATGGAAGATACTGGATATAAGAACAATAATTGAAATAGTAATTATATTTCCATTAATCAATAATAAGAAAATAAAGCCCTATTATGATATTATTTAAAATGGCATCAGAAAAATATAACTATAAATGAATTAATACAATATGTGAAAGATATTAATAGGAAATATGTTAAGCGTCAAATACAGAAATTAAAGAATATATATATAAATACAGGAATTTACTATGTTCATGAATTATAAAATTTTGTATTTTAAATAGTTAAATTCTTCCAAAAAAGGGGATATAGATCCCTTTCAACCCAAGCAACCTTCTGGAACGTCTTCCCTTGGAAATTTATTCTAAAATGTATATGAAAATTTGAAGGAACTAAAATTTTCAAGGCATTATGGTACAAGAATAGTTGAAGGATGTGTACTACCAGGCATCAAGGCACGTTATAAAGATAGTGTAGTATTGGGGAAAGAAAAGACAAATAAAGCAATAAGACCAAACAAAAACATCTAGAAGCAAACCTACGCATAGAGAGTCATTTGCTATATATTGAAAGTGATATCACAGTCCAATGACAGAATAACATTTACTTCAATAACTGATGCTGGATCTATTGCACATCAATGTGGAAGTAAAACACATAAAGGAGTGATGAGGAAGGTAAAATAACATAACTCAATAGAAAATAGGCAAAATATGGTAAAGTATTCTGTAAAAGAGAATATCCACGCACCAGAAAATATATAAATGATTTTTCTGCTTTATTAATTATAAAGAAAATTAAAACATCAGTGAGGGTGTTTCTAGTAAACACCCACCAGAAAGGCTAAAGCAAAAAACCAGAGAAATTCCACATAAAAAGGAAGATACAAACTAACTTGAACTGCCATACACTGTGAGTGAGTGGAAGTACATATGACTATTACTGCTTTGGAAAACTTCTTGGACATATCTACTAAAGATGGAAATATGCGTACCCATTGACATTTCATTCTCAGGTATATAATAATCAGAAAAAAATGCACAAATATGTTTTCTAAATGCCAAGGACATTAATTCTCAGGTATATAATAATCAGAAAAAAATCCACAAATATGTTTTCTAAATGCCAAGGACATTAATATTTATAGCAGAATTATCTGTGATAGAAAACAAGACTACGAAAAATAATAAATATCTATCAAAAACAGAATGGATGATTGAGGTGAGGTTTACCCATATGATGGAGTATCATCCAACAACGAAAATGGATGAGGTATAATTACACACAGCTATCTGAATGATTCACAAATGTAATGTGAAACCAAAAAAAAAAAAGAGGCAGACACAAAATGTAAATATAAATACAGCATTATTGTATTTATTTAAAGTTCAAATACAGGCAAAACGAATCTGTTTTGACAGAAGTCAGAATAGTGATTACCTTTGAGGAGAAAGAGTAACAGAGAAATTACAAAGGTGACTTCTGGGGTGCTAGTAATTTTCCGTTTTATTATCTTGGTGGTGGTTACATGGGTGTGTTCAAATGTGAAAATCCAAACTGTACAATTATGATTTATACATTGCTATGTATGCTATATTTCAATGGTAGATCTACTTAAATATTTACATTCAAGTTCTTTATTTTGCAATCTATGTTAGTAGAAAGTTATTTTCTACTCCTGGTTTGTGAGGAGCATTCTATGATGAATTAATGTTGAATTTTAAATTAATTCTCAGCATCTACTGAGAAAAGCATATTGTTTTTCTTATTTAGTCTTCAAGAATGACAATCACATTGACTAATTTTGCGTGTTGTACCTGACTTGAATTCTTGGAGTTACCTTTGTTGGGCCACTGGGTCATCATGTTAATATTTAGGTATATTCACCTGGATTTGATATGTTAATATTTTGTTGAGGAATTTAAAGTGTATGTTCAAGAAATATTTTGGTTCATAGTTTTTGTTTCTTATAATTCCTTTGTCTGATTTTGACATGCAGGTAATATAGGCCTTGTTAAGTATGCCTGGAGCTGTTCCCTATCTGTTTTCTAGAAGAAATTACACATAATCAGAATCATCCCCTCTTTTCATATTTGGTGTAAATATTTGGCCATGAGATCTTAAATATAATGCCAAAAGCATGAACAAAAACACCTACATTGGGCTTTTTCAAAAGTAAGTAATTTTTTCCAATTAAAAATATGGTTAAAAAATGAAAAATCAAGACACAAACTAAGAAAAAATGTGTCCAAGTCACATACCTGATAAAGGGCTCATATATAGCATGTGTAAAGATATTTTACGAGTCTGCGCTCCCAGTACATGTGCTTCAACTTCGGTTGGTGTGTGTCGAAGAAACCTGACTGCGCCCTGAGGAGAACAGCAGAGAAGGTCCACCGAGCCTGGCGAAAGGTCCGCTGAGTGGGCTGGCGTCCGGAGCCACTCCGGGCTGCGGAGCACCCAGTGGAGACCGCACCTGGCTCAGGTGTGGGACCCCATCCTTCCTGTCTTCACAGAGGAGTCCTCGCGTGCAATAAGCGCGTTTTGAAAACAAAAAAAAAGATTGAGTGGAAAAGGAGGCCAGGATCCAGGCCTCCATCCCCACGGAAGTGAAGTTACAGCTGGGAGGTCTCCTCCCACCCCAACCGTCACCCTGCGTCCCAACTGCCTACCTCCTCCTCCTCCCCGCCAAAAACAACAACAACAACAACAACAACAACTCCAAGCACACCAGCCATAAGAGTGCGCGTGTCCCCAACATGACCGAACGAAGGAGAGATGAGCTCTCTGAAAAGATCAACAGCTTAAGAGAAAAGGTCATCAAGCAGTCTGAGGAGAACAACAACCTGCAGAACCAGGTGCAGAAGCTCACAAAGGAGAACACTGCCCTTCCAGAACAGGTGGAACTCACCCCAGAGGATGAGGATGATGACATCGAACTCGGCGGTGCTGCAGCAGCTGCTGCCCCACCCGCTCCAATAGAGGAAGAGTGCCCAGAAGACCTCCCAGAGAAGTTCGATGGCAACCCAGACATGCTGGCTCCTTTTATGTCCCAGTGCCAGGTCTTCATGGAAAAGAGCACCAGAGATTTCTCAGTTGATCGTGTCCGTGTCTGCTTCGTGTCAAGCATGATGACCGGCCATGCTGCCCATTGGGCCTCAGCGAAGCTGGAGCGCTCTCACTACTTGATGCACAACTACCCGGCTTTCATGATGGAAATGAAGCATGTCTTTGAAGACCCTCAGAGGCTAGAGGCTGCCAAATGCAAGATCAGTCGACTGCGCCAAGGTATGGGGTCTGTCATCAACTACTCTAATGCTTTCCAGATGATTGCCCAGGACCTGGATTGGAACGAGCCTGCACTGATTGACCAGTACCACGAGGGCCTCAGCGACCGCATTCAGGAGGAGCTCTTCCACCTCAAGGTCGCCAGTCACTGTCTGCTCTGATAGGGCAGTGCATTCACATTGAGAGAAGGCTGGCTAGGGCTCCTGCAGCTCGCAAGCCACGCTCACTACCCCGGGCTCTGGTGTTGCCTCACATTGCAAGCCACCACCAAGTAGATCCAACTGAGCTGGTGGGAGGTGCCCACATGCGCCTGACCCATGAAGAAAAAGAAAGATGCAGAAAGCTGAACCTCTGCCTCTACTGTGGAGCAGGAGGTCACTATGCTGACAACTGTCCTGCCAAGGCCTCGAAGGCTTCACCGGTGGGAAACTCCCTGGCCCCACTGTAGAGGGACCTTCAGTGACTGGGCCAGAAATAATAAGGTCCCCACAAGAAGATGCCTCATCTCCACACTTACAAGTGATGCTCCAGATTCATCTTCCGGGCAGGCACACCCTGTTCG